CCTCTCTCTCTCTCTCTCTCTCTCTCTCTCTCTCTCTCTCTCTCTCTCTCTCTCTCTCTCTCTCTGTGTGTGTGTGTGTGTGTGTGTGTCTCTCCCTCACACACACATACACAGAAACCCTTCCTGCTTTCTCTTTCTTCTCACCCTTTCTGGCCTGGCAAAGCAGAGCCACACGAGGAGAAGCCCAGAAAAGTGGGGCATGGCCGGGCGTGACGGGGTTAAGCTGGGAGGGAAGGGGCGGGCTAAAGTAAATGAGCTACTGCTGCACACCACCAGCCCCCCAGTGCTTGCTGTTTTCTGCCCGTGCTCCAAGGCGCCCAGCTGGGTTGCGGTGGGCCAGGGCTAGGGCAGCGGGGACCGGTCCCTTGCCATTTCTGGGACAGCCCCGGGGGGCCAAATCTGGGCCCTCCCCGGCCCGCATCCGGCTTGCGGGCTTTGTGTTTGACATGTCTGAAATAGATAACTAGTTTTACATATTGAAATATTAGCAAGCCACTTTATATTTCAATCGTATATCTGTGCTGCATTCCTTTTTTTTTTTACACCTGCAAACAAAATAAGATGCACGAGCTATTCTCTAGAAAATTCCATAGAAAGAGAAAGCCCTTTTTTTTCTCCCTTTTGTTGTTTCTTTTGTATACTCACTGGCTGTTCTGCTAAATCTTGTACCTCTTCCATGGAGGCGAGCTTTTTCAAAAGTGCTCCAATGTGAAGAATGGGTGTCTTTCTCTCCTGCCTTCAAAACCTGTAACAGACAATATCCATGTTTTATGTATTTGGGGAACTGCTTATTGTTTTTGCTATCAGTACCTCTAGCCAGTTAATATGCCATTTTATAAACATATGTTGGCTTTACCAATATAGAGACTATACCAGGGGTAGGCAACCTTGGCTGGCTCAGGAATTCTGGGAGTTGAAGTCCACGAGTCATAAAAGAGCCAAGGTTGCCTACCCCTGGACTATACTAACCTATGGGGAAAAGCAAGGGTTTTCCATTAAGCCGCAAGCTACAGCAGATACAACAATGCAAGTGAGGGCGCATCTGATGGTGCATTTCTTTTGTTACTTGGATTTCAAGTCACTATTCTTTTTTTCTTTCTTTTTACTGATATTTTACTAATAAATTTTTTTACTAATAAAAAAATTAAAGCACTGGAAGATTAAAGAAATACAAGCCACAGATGAAATACAAACAAATGAAAATGAAAGAGTTTGGAAAACTTGTTTTTATGTAAATGTTTGTGTGTTTATTTAACAGGTATTTTAGAATACAAACATGACCTTGAGGAGGAATATAAATGTCACTATTTTTTCTATTTGAAAAATAAAATAACAAATAAAATATTCACCTCCAAATGTTCTAGCATACAGGGAATCTCTCCTCTTCAGATTAAAAATCACAACATAATAAGAATTACAGAACTGAACTCATCATGGTATAACATAACCATCAGGCGAACACTGCTTTTTCCATGATACAATGTCCTTGATAGAAGAAATGCCAGACAATACCAAGCTGGTTGTTATATATCATAGAGACAAACTAATATTTTTACTTAGCCTTATCTACATAAATTTGTCTTTGCTATTTCAACTAATTTAATGAGGAAGTAAAATGACATTTTGATAGACCTATTCTTTGTCCTCCATCTATTTACTTTACTGAAACTGATGATTCCAGACCAAGCCATAACTATGATGGTGAAGCCCTTTAAAAGAAACAACTTGGTCAGGGGAAAAAGTCCCAATCTCCACACAGTAAACAAAACAATGGGTTGGATTGAGATCCAAATACCTTTAGCACAAAAGCACTTAAATCAATGGGTCTTCCAATAGGTACTCTCTAATTACAACTAACCCGTGATTCAACTTATGGAAAAAACAGAGTTGCTGAAGTAAAATTTAATGTCAAAATATTTTATTTCTATGATATCCTTTTTCAAGAAAATTCCAGGAAGGCTCACACAAGGTAAGTTGAAAATGTAACAATAAAACGCTACAATACCAATATAATACATATGTTTAACAGCTATAAGCAAATGTGATATTATTACAATCCCTATTTTCAATACCTGAGAAAATTGTTATAATGCAGTGTCTAAAAATATTTAAGAGGGAAAAATATTTTTACCTGATGCCTAAAAAAGGTAATGATTATTAAGTGAACCTGCTTGAAAACACTTTCAAAATTAAGGTTTTGCAATAAAAGCTTTTTTACTCCTTTCACAAACTTCAGCTGATGACCTACAAACGTTTATTATAATAAAAGCAAAAAGAAAGATGTATAATCAAAACAAGATTTCGGCTTGCCCTGACTCACCACAGAAAAATTACAACCAAAAAGCATATCTGTTAAAAATCTTATTAATTTATACATTTATTAATTTATGCATTTCTTATTAATTTATACATTTCACTTAATAGTACTTATGTACTGCCAGCAGGATTGATTGTAAGATTCCTTATCAGCAATATACCACTGCATTAGGAGAATTTATAAACAATACTATCCAAAATGCATTGAATTCATTTACCAACAATCTGGTTTTATATTTTAATTCTTGAATGCTTTAAAGAGTTAATTTATATCATGTTTTATATAAAACTATCAACAGAACATCAATTTTAGCTGATGCAATCATATCCCTCTAGAATTCTTAACCCTCCCCCCCAAAAAACCACAATTCAAAACAAACCCAACCCAAACCTTAAAGATTATTAAGCATGACTCACTGAGATTAATGGGATTTATTCCCCAATAACAACCTAACTACAGTGTTATCGCTTTTTTTAGTGAGAAAGTTCTCATTAAAATAAGATTAAAAACAGATGCCTGAAAATTAATGTGTATTCTCAGTCATCCATCCTTTGGCCTGAAAATTAAGATATTACTTCAATGTGATGGCAAAAAAGTTCACAGTTATTCACATTTTCATTCTTGCTTGTTTACCTTATAATTAGAAATAGTCTCATACTAAAATTTTCGACATCAAAGATGTAGAAAAAATGTGTTAGTGCCTGCCATAAACAAGCTGGTAATATTTTCAAATTTTCAATTGCCTGTACCAAATACGTGTTTCTTATTCCTACATTACTGAGAAATTTCATTTAATCAATGTACACCATAAAATATTTTTGAAGTTAATAAGACAGTAACCCACTCATCTAAAAGCTTCAAGTCAAAACGAATAGCAAATATAAAAAGTCTGCTTTCCCACTTCATGCCAACTTCCAGTTTTCTAAAGATATTTTTGTACACAAAGAGCTGTAAGTATAAATAAAGTCAAATGACTTTATTCTTAGAAATAGCGAAGCTACTTTTATGAAATCTGAACCAAAAATACTGTACAATAGATGAATTTCAAATCTAGTTTTATCTTTTTTTTTTCTTTTGCTTTCCAGAGCAGGTTTAGTATATTGCATTAATCTACTGCTCTGGCTTAAATATCATATAAACATGAAGGAGACGCCTTATTTGGAATTCAGCAATCAAGATTAACAACCCAAAAGGTCAAAACAGAGTAGATAATTTCTTTCAATGTAGAAAATTAGAATTTTCTTGTAATCTTATTTTTAAACATTTTTATTATGTAAACAAAGTATAATGAAACACCTTATAAGCCATCTACAGTACAATATAATCTTCCTTATTCATCTTCACAAAAGAAAATCCCATTAAATTAAGAGAGACCCCTAACTGTGTAAAGGACGTAATCCAATTTTATTATTGTGTAAATTACAAGTGAAAGGGCACTAGAAAATTAAATGAATTGAGCAAACCAGGATTCATTTCACCATGTAAATACACTATATTAAAGGGGAACACCTAATCATGATCACCAGGACAATGCTCTTCTCAATCTAATTTTTTAGCCAAACCATGGTTGGCTCGCTTGCAGTTCAGATATTTATATTGCACCTGTCCTCACTACACAAGGATGTCTTCACCACACATCAGACATTTTCTGATTTCAGTTCCTTAAAAGGTCAGGGCAGTAAAGCGAATGGCCAAGGATAAAAGAACATAAATTAAAAAGTCATGACAACGCTACAGGTCCAACATGTTTTAACTCGTTATTTTGATTTAAGAAGTAGCAACTTTGTAATACACGAAGCGCTTTTATTACTTCTGCTGAGACGCAGAAGTCATTACAGCCGATTTACTATTTGTAGAGAAAGAAGAGTATCTTATTTTATTGCCCAAGACCCTGCTAGCCCAAAATCACGTTTCAGTTAATGAAATCTTCTAAAAGATCGAGAATATCAGAACCTATAAAAGGGCAAATCTGACCAAGCGCTCTCGGAAAAAAAATGAATTTAAAGATCGCGATGAGCTCCTCAAAGGGGGTAGCCTCTTGAGAAGCTGAAAAACCTCGGCTTGCCCCTTGGCAAACCTATCATAAAAAACATAACCACAAATTAAGTAACCCTGTTAGGCTAACATACCCTGTAAGTCCAGGCTTTCGCTTAAAGAAAAAAAAAATCTCAAACAGACCTTTTCCTCCTCCCTGCATTCGACTTCTCTTTTAAAGCCATCAAAACCGGGGAGGGTGAGGGGATCAGAAGGGTCACGGCATCACGTGGCGGTGAGTTCCACAGGTTGCGGGCACGTCCTGTGACGCGCTCCGCCGCCTCCTATCCGGGTGCGGCAGAAGACGAGCCCCGCCCAACTGCCCTCTCTTCTCCCTTCCCCCCATTCACCGATGCGGGGGGGGGCAAACAGCGTCTGGGGGCGGGGCCGCGGCAACCGCTCCCCAGGCCACGCCCACCGGCCCGCGCGCCGATCGCGCGAGAGAAGAGGAAAGCTAAGGGCGGGGAAAACTTTTTTCTCTCACCGTGAGGAGAAGTTTGCGGAGGCGACCTTGGCGACAGGTGACATGGTGGACTTGGTGGCGACAACAGCGGGACCGGTGACGGGCTGAGTTCCCAGACAGGACAACAACACCCCCCACACACACAAATAAAAGAAAGAGAACGGAAAAGAACCCCTTTCGGCAAGCCTCCGCTGGTTTGAGACCCGGAAGCGGAAGCTCCTTGCCGGAAGTGACGGTAAAGGTGACGCGGGATAGGATTGGTCGGGGTATTTGCCGTCGGTAGCCGCCATCGCCGCCTAGGTTCCCTACTCGTGATTCAAAATGTCTGGGAAAGAGGGTGAGGGAAGGCACAAAGATTGGGCTGTGCGGCGAGGAGCGGCCGCGCCTTTTTCTTTTTGCCATTGAACTAGCAGGTAAAAAGAAAACGCGGCTGAGGGGATTCTCGCTGCCTTTGCTCCTTTACAGCACCTATTAGGCCCCAGCGTAATTACTTTTCTCTGCCTGTAGGGGTCGCCCGCCTCCTTTGGGGAGCAAAAATAGGCTCCATTAAGTTTGCCCGGTCTTGTACATTGAATCATAAACTAACTCAACAGGTTGGATTTGCACCACGTGATAAAACCACAAAAATCAGAGTTAACGCTACTGTAATGGCGCATAGCGTATTTTACAAATGCAGCTGCTAATTTTGAGCTGTCCTGATGAAAGGTGGTGTGCGGGAACAGAGCGGATAATAGAATTGGCTGCGTTCGGGCAAAGCCCCCTCCCCCACTTCGTAGCTATTTAACAACCCTAGTGAGGTGTGTGTAGAATGTAGATAAATATACTGCTGCAGCCCACATATTTTAATGGGCTTCAAAAATTAAAACGACCGTTAGTTGAGAATACAACTTTTTGTATTTCTTCGTTGCATTCTAGTAGTTGTCCAGATTATTATAGCTCAGATTTGTGCCAGCTCTAACTTGTAAGTAAAATATTTTCCCATATAGTTTAAATTACATTTACACGTTGAGTAAGAAGAGTAAGAACTCTTCTTACTCAACCCCAGCAAATTAATTTTTAAGACAATTAACCTCTGATACAAAAAAATACAGAATGTACATGGTATTTATCAAATTAAAGTCATAATTAATTGGGTTTCATACATTTGACAATGTGTGATTGGGTTTAGTTTAGGATGATAGAAATCCATGTCGGCACTAAGATTAGTAAAGCCTAACATATCGAGTTACATTTAAAATTTTAGGCAAGTTGACCTGTTGACAGAGATAAGTTCCACTGAATTCAGTGAAACATTTCTGCTATGCTAAATTGTTGCCGTTCTCTTTTGTTTTATTTAGATAACAATTATTTCAGTGCCATATAATTACCAATAAATGTTCTCCGGGTTGCAGTCTTATTTTAAAACAACAAATACACAAAATACCTGCAGGAGCTTCACAATTAGAACTTCTGATGTGCTTTTAATAAATCTCGAGTTGATAGTAATTAAAAACACAGGAGTTCCAAGCTAAACTATTTGAGAACAAATGTTTGGCATCCCCTCTTTTTGATATGGATATAACAAATGTATTCTTTTCCCCCCCCACAGCATTTCAGGTAGAGATCATTTCTGGCAAGTGGAATGCAGAATCCAGACATACTCAGAGGTAACCTCACATGATAGGTGTCTGTATTATAAATAAACAATAAAAGCACAGAAAGAAAGAGATTGATGGTGGGAATCATTCCATAGCTGTTGCCAAGCGCCAGAGAAATCAGGAGATCCAGACAGTTCAAATGGGTATAAAAATTTATTGCAAGCTTAAGCTCTCTACAAGAATTTGAACTACTAATGGTTAAAGCAATTTGGCAGTAGATAAGGAATTCATGGTGGGCTGGACTTAGATCTCTTGTGGACACTAAGGGACTCAAGACTGATGATGCATTTGACCCCTCCCTCGGGCTCAGCTTGGTCATCTAGAGCTGCTGAGTGTAAACCTCTGCTACCCTTCTCCCTCTGTCCATAACTCCGTCATCTATTTAGCCAATTTTCTGCCAGAGATATCCAAAAGGCTTTTGTTGGAAGCCTGGAGATCTTCAAATTTGGATAATCTTTTCAGCCATTGTGTTTCTAATAAAAGTGTTACCAGCTATACATTTCAGTCTTTTTTCCCTTCCTGGACCAACTAGGCTATGCTTGTCTTTTATAGTCTTCAATACAATAATGGAGTTACTGATAATTTTTTATCTAAAAAAAATGGACAGTATTTATTGGCTAACTCTTTTTTATCATCACTGTTTTTCATTAGTGATCCATACACACCCAGACAGGCAAGACATCAGAATATAAACCGACAGCAAACAGCACTCCTTACTAGCACTGATGATGTTACCTAGTTAGGATAATGAAACGTCTGCAAGAAAATAAGCTTAGAGAGCACCAAGGACCCCTCACTTGTATTTTGGAACATTTTAAGGTTAGACTATTACAAAACAATAGATAGTAATGAAATATTAGGCAACATTTGAGTTTCCTGAGAAAGCCAATCATCCCTTAGCATAGTCAGCATTCTAAATCATGAACAAACTTCATGTGTAGAAGAGGCTCCTGTCTCAGATGTGTGCCTGTCAAATTGTGGAAGGTTACAGATGTGGAGAAGGACAATATATTGAAATGGGCATAATATGCCAGAAGTCTTAATTTCATGTAAGGTTGTAATTTAGATTTTACTTTTCCATAGATATGATTGCAAACAAAATAATGAGAATTCATTCCTGATGGACCTACAGGCAATGGTTCTCTCATTCTCCAGGCTTCTTTCAGGATAGGTCTTCTTGTTTCCTATCTCAGCTTCTAAATTTACATAGGGATTCTTGGCTAATCCATAACTGTTAAGTTGTAAGTTTTGGCTTGTATCTCTCAGCCTTTCTTGATACGAAGGAATGACAAAAGAGCAAGAGAAAGATTATACCCATGAGAATGGCATGTTTGATGGAAAAGAATCCTATAGCCCTGTCCTAGATATTGGCACTAGGACCCAAGAAAGACCTGATATGTTCCAAATGATGCCCAAGAATTTAGAAGTACCTCAGGATGAAAACAAAATACTGATTATATTATATCACAACTGCAACAATGTAATATCTATCTTTCAAATAAGAGATTTACAAATTCTTTACCCTCACAACAATATCCAAAGTCATCTCATTTGAGATATGGCATGTCCTTTCAGAGATCTTGCATTTGTGTTACATGGCCTTCAGTTCTTGCTGCTTTTGGACAACACAGGTTGCAGCCCTAAATTAATTTGCCAAGCATTCTTGCTAGGCATTAGCTTTTATTTGACACTGATAATAAGTAAATGTTGCTCTTCAGTAAGAAAGTTATCATTTCATTTCACTTTACAGTTTTCAATCAGAAGGTCTCTCAGCCTAGATGTTCAGTCCGTTTCCTTAAGAATGAAAAAAGGGCCCCAGTAGCTGGTCATCTTTAGTTAGCTTTTGGGCAGCAAATCAAAGCTCCTGCTTACAATCTTTGCTGTTTGTGAGGAGACATAGTGTATTTCCTTATCTGCATGCAGTATATGTTTGTCCTTTAACTTAACCAATTGTAACCAAATGTATGTTCTTTGGCCTTTTTTGCTGCTACAGAAGTATCTTCCTCCATCTTGCGTTCAAAATACTTTTAAGGTTTGGGGGATGCAGGAATACAATTATCTAACTGTACCATCCCTTCCATTCCAGTCTCAGTTGTTTGCCTGGAGCATTTTCGACTGTCTTTTATGCTTTTAAAATTTTCAGAAAGATGTTTCCTGAATTTTTTTGTGAGAAAACAATAAATGATAGGATCCAGGACACAGTTGGCACCCAGAAAAACAAGGGTAGCCTGATGGATATCATTTAATAGTTTTTTACTTTGGCAGCTTATGTCCCACTTGTTCAGAACCATCAAAGTCCAGGGTAGATCCACCAAGTGGTGAGGCACAAAACAGACAGTGAAGACAGTCAAAACTGTGGTCACCAACCAAAGAGCCCGTTGCCTGACACGGGCACTCCTCCGAGTTTGCACTGTTTTTGAAAGCAATGTCCGGATAATGAAAGCATTGCATACCAAGACAAGCAGGAAAGCAATGAAGAAACAAACACAAATAATCACATGGAAGGCAAGAATAGGCGTGGTATTAGTGGTGGTATCATAACGCTCAAAACAGCGAATCAGATGCCCCTCAGGGGTTGTGCCATCATCAACTAAAAAGTAGATGGAAGGAACACCTATTAGGATCCAAATAGCCAATGTAACATAAATTCCTCTTCTTCGTGTGCTCGATTGAACCGTTGAAATGGGCCTTGTGACAGCTTGGTAACGATTATATGTTATCACTCCCAGGAATGCCACAGAGCAGTATGTATTGACGAAAAATAAGTAGCCAGCTATATTACACAGAAAGCTGGGCATGATCCAGTTCCCTCTGTAGTTGTAATAAACAATCCACATTGGCAATGTAACCAGGAAAAGTAAGTCAGCAGTTGTCAAATTGACTATGAATATTTTTATTTCATTTAATTTCTTCTTAGCATAAAGCCGCCAGAAAAGCCACAGCACATAGGTGTTAGCTACAAAGCCCAGAATGAAAATGATGCTGTAGTAGATAGTAAACAGTAGATATCTGAACTCAGAATCCACATGGCATATCATAGTTTGGCTAACAAGTGCAGAGAAGTTTCCATTTTCACGAAGTTTGGATATCATTGTAGTAGTCATGGTGTTCTTATCCTGGAAATAAAATGACAGAAGGAAATAGTTAATGTAAGAATAGAAAATGACAGGATTTCTTAAAGCTAACTTGGAGCTGGCTAGGTCTTTAATACAATCTCACTTTCCTCACTCACACTACATACTGTGGGACAGTTCATTGCCTTACTCTCTAGGACAGGGCTTTTCAACCAGTGGTACGGGTACCACCTGCAATACATTGGCACTTGGCAGGTGGTACGCGACCATCCTAGAAAAGTGGTAGCAGGAGAGGGGAATAAGCTGAACCGGTGGCAGCACCGCACAAGCCTGAGCGAGAGATGGCTGGAGCTGCAGGGCTGTCAGGGCTCAGCGGAAGCACCAGGATCAGCGCTGGGCTCCAGCTGGAGCTCGGCCCTGATCCTGGCGCTTCTGCTGAGCCCAGAAGAAGCACCAATCAGCTGGAACGTTGCAGCATCTCCAGGGTCTTGTGATTTACATTCAGATGCTTGGCAACTGATTCATATTTATGATGGTCACAGTATCCCAGGGTCATGTGAAGTGACCAAAACCTGCTGCAACCACCCAGCAGATGGGGGAATAAAAACCAAACACCCCCCACCCCACCCCTGCTGCCAATCCTCAACAGAAATGCTCACAACAATGAAAACCTCGGACAGGAGGAAGAGCACGGCCGGGTGGGCAGGCAGGTGTCTTGCTCGGCTGTGCCTTGGGGGGCCCTTTTTTCAGTGCCATTGTAACTTCGAACAGTCACTAAGTGAACTGTTGTAAGTTGAGGACTACCTGTACTTTATCACTTTTTTCCTTTTTTTTTTTTTTTTTTTGGTCATCAAGTTTTTGACACCTTGCTAGGCGACTGGTGGTACTCGGATGTTGCCATATCCTAAAAGTGGTACAATGGGTGAAAAGGTTGAAAAGCCCTGCTCTAGGAATCCCCTTTCCAGGGATTCTCTAGTAATTGTGGGGTTTCTTAGCCAACCCTGTAATTTGAGAATGTTTTCCCATGTTTAACTACTTTAGCCTGTCAGGAGATTGTACTCNCACCTTGCTAGGCGACTGGTGGTACTCGGATGTTGCCATATCCTAAAAGTGGTACAATGGGTGAAAAGGTTGAAAAGCCCTGCTCTAGGAATCCCCTTTCCAGGGATTCTCTAGTAATTGTGGGGTTTCTTAGCCAACCCTGTAATTTGAGAATGTTTTCCCATGTTTAACTACTTTAGCCTGTCAGGAGATTGTACTCCGAAGTTACTCCTTTGGCAACTCAAATTTAGCAGCTGGGCTTGACAGTCAGCCCTCAACTCTAGGAATATCTCTATACCAATATCCTGCATTTATTCCATATTTATGTCCATCAACCATTTCATTCTCTCAAGTGACCACATTATAAGCATTCAGAATGCTCCACTTTTTACATTGGTTCAAGTAAATAGATCATAATCAGACTTTTTGCTTTTTGTAGCTTATTAAGTAAAATAATTACAGCTAAATGTCTAAAGTTGATGCATGGTTAGATCTGCATCCTAATCTAAAGCAGAAAGCTGGGGGGAGAAAATGGAATTGAGAGAGGGAGAGGTGAGCAATTTTAAAAGAAGATCTTCCTTTTTGCTTGGTTCTCATCATCTGTATATCTTCAGTTTTTTCAGGGTAGGGCTGGATGGAATAAGAATGAACAGAGCTGGTTCATGACCAGAAAATTACATGACTTCCTTTTCCTTGCAATGTTTTCTAAAGCTCATAAGGGGTTATAGTACAAGGATATCTCTACTCAACCGTTTCTCACTTTTTTCCACTCGGTTCTTCAGATTAAGGCTACTTAATCTCTTGTTTGTCTGATTTTTTTGTCTACTCTATGGGAGCCTGTGGCAAATTAAGGCATTCATATTTCAGCAGACTATGTATTAGTGTTTTAACTTTTTTTCACTTGATTCTGTGGTTACCTAAGAACAGTGAAAATCTGGAGCTCGAGCTGCATTAGTTACCTACAGGTTCTGGCAAGGGATGGAAATAAGTGGAGGGGGAAGAAGTGAAACTATATAATAAAGGGGGAAGGAATCTGAGCTTTTATTCAAAAAGACTGACCTGGGGTGAAGCAAAAGTTAAAGTTAGCACAGCTTAATGCTTTCCAGTCATGGTGTCTCTGGGAAAAGCAGGCTTCAGCCTCTAGTAATAAAATGTTTAAGAATAGAGGTGAGCTATTTGCAGGAGATGGTCAAGACTGGGTTTTAGAGTCCCTTCCACTGAGGGCTGGCTAAAATACGTGTGTCAACAAGGAGCTTCATCTTGAATGTGTAGCTCTTCATTTTTTTTCTAACCTACACAAACCAATTGTACAACTGACAAAAGCTGTTCTATAGTTTTACCCAAATCATATAAATATTTTCTATAGTTAATTTCTGTTTTGAAACTTTAAACATACTTTCCTAATGGTATTGGTATCATGATTTTATAGTTTGTGCCAATTATAATACATAGATAAAACTGTGACCGCAATGGGATGGCTATAATTTTACTCTTGAATGTTATGTTATGCTGGTCAGTGACTGAAATAAAGAGGCCACCGCCAAGAAGATGACTCATTTTCGTTTGAAAAGACACCACAAGCTAAATGGCTGGGAGCCAGACTTAGATTGATTTGAAAATCCATGTCCCATTCTATGCTGCTTAAAAATATTTCTGGCACTTTTACAATCTAAATGACAAAAGCTCTTCAAGAGTCTTAGTTTGCCAATAGCATTTTCTTAGGTTGAATTCAAGTGACCTCTGATTACCATTGGGCCCAACCCACTAGATAGAAAATTAACGTTAACCAAACATTAAAAAGATGGTATCAAGCCTTAGTGACATAGACACCAAACCCACCTCTAATTGTTGGGCAAGATGTTAATACATCATTGAACTGCAAGAATAACTCTCATAAGTTTAGATTAGACAACTTCAAGGATATCAAGCTTTCTAAAATAGCACGCTGACATTTAAAGAGAAAGGAAATGGCTTTAGCTATGAAGACCTTGCAAGCTACAGGGATAAAATGAACTCCCTTCAAAATAGAAAAATCTCCAGATAGTTGAGCTATATTGTGCAACATTTGCCGATGAAGATTAGAACAGCATTCAAAGTTGTTATAATTAAGTACTCACCAGATAGCATTTCCTTTTGTTTGTGAATTGAATTTTATAACTTCATGAAAATACAAAGACTTCAGTTTTTCCTAGCTTTTCTTCTAAGTAGAAAGAACCCCAAACTTTCTGTGCTATATATTTTCTTGTCTTGAAAATTTAGCAATAGGGTGATTTTTGACTTCCTTGGGGCAATTTTTCAATTATAATCATGTTCTGCTGCCTTCTTTTTACTCACTTCCTCCTTCTAGGCAAATAAGTACATTAGAAAGAGTTATTTAACTTTTATCAAATTAGTGTCTTTTTAACTTCCTTATAGTACAGTTTCAAGTGGTATTTTCTAAACATCTTTTGTTGTATTTTTTCTGGTTACATCTGCAACTATTCTATATAGAAGGAAGTGAAACTGGTGTAGACAAAAACGAAGTTGTCCACAAAAGGATCTGTAGGCATTCTTGAGAAATTCTAATAAACCACAAAAGGAATTGGGCAACATGAATCAGGGTTGAATATAATTGCAGATTTTTTGTGCTTCCTTTCTCAATTTTCAAACTATTCTTGCTTTTTTAAAAAAAAAACAAAAAATCTAAAACCATTAGGTATCTTGACTAAGTCTAAGAGCAGCCATTCTCTCCTACTTGAGAATAAGCCCTATTTAATAACACATATTCAGAACCAGTGTTAAAGATTGTGTGGGTGGGTATTTGCCAAGGTGTGGAACCTAACAGCCCATTTCTGACCTGAACCATCCTAAGGAAAGTATTCCCAAGCATCATTGACTGCTATGAACATTTCAGGAAGACAGATGTGTTAGTCTATGGTGGCCAAAAATCACGGGGAGTCTGGTAGCACCTTTTTCAACTAACAGTTTTTTTGTGCGGGGTCCTTAGTGCTCCCTTAGTGCTCTGTTTTCTTGCAGACATTTCATTGCCTTACCTACTGGTAGCTGGTAAATGAAATGTCTGCAAGAAAACAGCCAAGCTCAGGGAGCACCAAGGACCCCACAGTTCAACCCTGAGCTATAAATACTCTCTTCTATTAGTACAGATTTTATTAAAAGGTATTTCTGACCCGCAGAGCACTTTATCAGATGCATAGAGCGACTGATGAAGTATTGAAATTGGGGTGAAGTGGGAGAGGTGGCTGAACTAGTTTACATCAAAATATTTTGAGGCATTCTCAGAAGGCCTTAACAAACAGGCACTTGTAATCTGTTTCATATATTACTGCATTGCAGAACAAACTTAAGTCTCCCTTCCTTTCCCTCTCAACTACATTCCTGGCCTTCCAGAAGAGCCTAACAATTTGGGGCCTGATACATTGGGGGTGCTGCAGGGGTAGAGAAGATCTGTGGTGATTATGGCCACCCATGATCTTGGTTTTTAACTTTTAACTTCTCTTACTCAATTTTTCTAATTTTAATTCATTTATTGTATTATAAGCCAGTATTGGTGAGATGGGTGGTACAGAAATTTAATAGATAAATATACCCAATTTACATCCTTAATCAGTTTAGCCACATCATGTCCCCGATGAAATAAACTGTAGCTCAAGAAAGATTATACCTTTTAATAAAGTTTGTTAGACAGAAAAGGCGCTACTTGATTCTTGACTTTATGATTAGTGAGAATTAACAGAAAGAAAGGAACTGTTTGTCTTGAATAGCCTGGTTTGCATCTCCAAAGTAATCTTATTTTCAGTTCTAGTAAGTCATTGGCAGTGTTGAAATGAAACTCAGCTGCTAGTCATATTATAGGTGGAGTGCTGACTTTTCTTTTACTACATGTAATAAAATGCCCCAGGTATTGTGCTGATCTCTCATTTCCCAATGAGAGAAGTTTCTGTTGGCAGCAGAAATTTGGCACTTCTCCCAAATCATCACAAACAACAAAAAAAAAAACCCAG